CTTCGTGTTGAGGCCTTAATTTTGATTACTGGGAGTTCTGTAATTTTTGGAGTCTTATTTAAGTGTGTGCGAGGTCTTCATAATTTTGTGATTGTATATGTAACTTTGGGAATGTATTTAAATGCTTAAATCTAATTAAGCCATCATGTATGCACAAGCTCAATGGATGTTGTCTTTTATTGATATTGCTTCTGCCTAAGGCCCCGTATGTGGTTAAATATTATTCTAAAATTCTATTTTGAGGCCTATGTATAGGTCGGTCATGGACCAAACTTTTAGGGGCGGGTTTGGGTCGTGACATGTTCCATGTTTTAGGTGTTATGTGATAACATGCTTATATGACTAGATAAGTATGAGACTGGACTTTTAGGATGTTGTTTGAGCCAATCAAATTCCTTGAAGCCTTATTAGAAGGGCACCTAATTAATGCTCATTCTAATAAGAATTCTCGGTATTTCGTGGGACAAATTTCATCGTAAAGGAGTAATCTGTATGTGTTTACGTGATTAAGTGCTTATGTGGAGTGAAACTAAGTGTTTACATGAAATGGAAACTTATAAAATTATTGTGATGAGACGTGTGAGATAAGTTGCGAGCATATATGGGATAGTGTGCTAAATTGTTTATGTTTGTCTTTAATTAGGATGTCAGGAAGAGGTCAGACACGTGGTGGTAGAGGTGGGAGGCGTGGTAGGCCTCGCCGAGGTGTTCATGAAGTACCGGTCCATGAGGTTTCAGTGCAAGAAGAGGGATTCAACCAAGCTAATGCGGCCAAGCAAGCAGGCCAAGCTAATGTGGCTAAGCAAATAGGACAAGTAGGAGTCCTAGAGCAAATGAGTCAAGCCGCTATGGGAGCCTTAGCTTGAGAAATGACAGGGCTTTGAGAGAGTCTATGAACATCTTGAGGGCGGAGAACCAAACCTAAGAGAACGCCGTGGAGACAAGGGCGGGCTTTCTTACTTGAGAGTTCTTGCAGGAAAAACTGGATGAGTTTTACAGTGGCCCGAAGCCCAAGAAGCTGCATGAGTGGCTCGAGCAAATGGTGAAGACATTTGGGATGCTTCACATCGATGATAGTGAACTAAAGGTGACTATGGCAAGTTATTACCTTAAAGGGAATGTAGGCCAATGGTGGAAGTATGCCAAAAGCAGAGTGGGGTCGACATGGAAAGCTTTTGTCATTCCAAGACAAATACCTACCTTTTACAGCTAGGGAGAGACTGAGGCAAGAATTTTAAAACCTTAAGCAATTAAACCTGTTAGTGGCTGAGTTTGAAACAGCCTTCACTAGTTTGTCTTGGTTTGCACTGGAGTTGGTGGCAATGGAGGAACGTCGTTGCATAGAATTTGAGAACCAAAATTTTGTTCAAGGTTGCCAGAAACATGATCCGGAACTATGACGACCTTGTGGAGGCAGCGGCACATGTAGAGATTATAGTGCAGGCCGAGAAGGAGAGACTTCGGGGTTCAAGGTCTAGGGGTCAAGAGTTGCAGAGGGACTTTAGATTTAGTAAGAAGCATAGGGGCTCCGCTTCATCCCAGCCCCAATCACAGCAGACTAGATCAACCTTCCCGTTGCCTAGTATTGGCCTGGGGAAGAATACTCAGGGTGGATTTACTTGTTTCAAGTGTAGCTAGCAAGGTCACAAGGCTAGTGCCTGCCTATAAAAGAGAGGAGGGCACTAGATGTTACCACCACCACCTAACTAATCTCAGAGTTCGTCCCAGAGTATGGGACAAGGACCTATATGTTTTTAGTGTGGTTAGTCGGGGCATTTGAGGAGAGCTTGCTCGTAGTTGAGAGGCACATCTGGTGTATCAGGGTCGAGGCAGACTCAGAGCCAGCAGCAGGCTCATTCAATTTAGACCTCACGAGCTAATCAAGGAGCCACTTCGGCTTAATCAGTGCATGAGGCATATGCTCCGAGAGATAAGCAGGTTGATCAAAGGCCACAGGGGCGCGTGTATGCTGTTATAGCGCTGGAGCAGTTGCGAGGATCCTCTGTTGTGAGAGCTAATTTTGTTATGTTCAATTCTTTGGCTAGTGTGTTGGTTGATACGGGTGCGTCGCATTCATTTATATTTGCTACTTTTGCTTCTGCATTGGGATTAGAGATTGATCAGTTGGAGCCTCCTTTATAGGTTGAGTCATCGGTTAGGAATAGGGTGGCATTGGGGCAAGTGTGTCGCTCTTGCGAGATTGAGGCTGTAGATCGCCGATTCTCTTTTGATTTTATCATCTTAGATATGCACACTTTTGATATTATTTTGGGTATGGATTGGTTGACACACTTTCGAGCTATATATTGTCAATGCCACCGAGTGTCCGTATGCACACCTACCGAGGATTATTTCTATTTTCTATATGATCGGGGTGATAATTTGATTCCACCGTTGTTTAACCTTAAGAGTCGAGGAGGACTTAGTTTCCTTTTTTCCATGTCCTTAGCCAAGGATGGTAGCATGGTTCAGAATAATTTATCAAGGGTAGATTGTGAATACCTGAATATTTTTCCTGAAGATTGTACTGGGTTGCCACCTCTTCAGGAGATTGAATTATCTATTGACTTAGTGCCTGACACGACACCAATTTTCATTCCACCATATAGATTTGCACTTGCTGAGTTACATGAGTTGAAGATCCAACTCCAAGAACTTTTAGACAAGGGTTTCATTTGCCCTAGTATATCACCTTGGGGAGCGCCGGCTCTCTTTGTGAAGAAGAAGGATGAGTCATTGCGGTTGTATATTGATTATCGCAAATTGAATCGATTTACTATTAAGAACAAGTATCCTTTACCCAAAATAGATGACTTATTTGACCAACTTAAAGGGTCTCGTCATTTTGTGAAGATAGACTTGAGATCAGGGTACCATTAGTTGATAGTTAGGGAGGAGGACATCTAGAAAATGGCATTTCGCATGCGTTATGGCCACTATGAATTCCTAGTAATGCCTTTCAGTTTAACCAATTTCCAGTAATGCCTTTGAATTTAACAAATGTACCTGCTTCCTTTATGGACTTAATGAATCGAGTCTTCCGTGAATTCTAAGACCGTTTGTGGTCGTCTTTGTGGATAATATCTTGATTTATTCAACCTCCAATGAGGAACATGAGGAACACTTGCCTGTTTGTGCTTGATTTGCTTAGGGTGCACCAATTGCATGCTAAATTTGAGAAATGCAAGTTTTGGTAGACGAAAGTGAAATTTTTGGGGCATGTTATGTCGGGAGAAGGAGTAACTATAGATTCTTTTAAGATAGATGTCGTGCAAGATTGGGAACAACTTAAGAATACTTTTGAAATCTAGAGTTTTCTCGGGTTAGTCGTGTATTATTGTTGTTTTGTAAGAGACTTCTCTAGACCAGCCGCACCATTGACCAGGTTGATAAGGAAGGGTGTTAAATTTGTGTGGAACGAGACTTGTGAGAAGTCATTCCAGGAACTTAAGACTAGGTTGACCACCACATCGGTTTTGATAATTCTGAAAAGGGACTTAGTAACTGTTTATTGTGATGCGTCTCGGAATAAGCTTGGTTGTGTGTTGATGCAAGAAGAGAAGGTTGTGGCATATGGTTCATGGCAATTAAAAACTTATGAGAAGAACTACCCTACCCACGATTTAGAGCTAGCAGCAATAATTTTTTCCTTGAAGATTTGGCATTTTTTTCGATCATAAGAGTCTAAAATACTTGTTTTCCCAAAAGATTCGAATTTAGGCCAATGGAGATGGATAAAATTTATAGAGGATTATGATTTTGAGTTACACTATCATTTGGAGAAGGCCAATGTTGTAGCCGATGCCTTGAGTCGAAGATCTATGAGTAGTGTGGCAAGTGTAGCCATTCGAGAATGGGTTATATTAGGTGATATCGGCGAGTTTGATTTGCATTTGGGCGAGTCTAGTAAGGGTGCTACCTTATTTACTTTAATTGCACAACCCACCTTGATTAGCAGAGTCATAGAGGCATAATAGGGTGACTGTAAGGTGGAGACAATCTGTGAGATGATCTCCAATGGGAGAGAAGAGAAGGGTTTGAACATCCATTTGAATTTGAGTGTGAGATATCTAGATCAATTGTTTGTGCCAGAATCTTGTAGAGATGAGGTACTCTGAGAATTTCATCACTCACGCCTTGTGGTACATCCGGGAGGCACTAAAATGTATCATGATCTTAGTCATCAGTTTTGGTGGATGGGTATGACATGAGACGTTGCTTTATTTGTTTTGAAATGCCTTACTTGTTAGCAGGTGAAGGCCGAGCACTAAAAACCAACGGGTTTGCTACAACCCTTATCTATAGCCGAGTGGAAATGAGAGTATGTCACCATGAATTTTGTAGTTGGACTTCCGAGAACACAACGGGATAATGATGCGGTTTGAGTGAATGTTGATAGGTTGAATAAGTCTACGCACTTCATTCCGATGCACATCAATGACTCAATTGCTTATTTGGTAGAGTTGTACATTAGAGACATAGTTCGACTTCATGGGGTCCCTGTGACCATTGTTTCGGATAGAGATCATTGTTTTACTTCCAGGTTATGGCAAAGTCTTCAAGAGATGTTAGGAACTAAGTTGACCCTTAGTATCGCTTATCATCCTCAGACCGATGGACAGTCAGAGCATACTATTGAAATTTTGAAGGACATGCTTAGAGCTTGTGTCCTTGATTTTAAGGGGTCTTGGGAGAGGCACCTACCGTTGATTGAGTTCGCCTATAACAATAGTCATTAGGCAAGTATTGGGATGGTATGGTTCGAGTCCTTGTATGGCTGACCTTGTAGATCACCAGTTTGTTGGGCCGAGGTGGGTGATGCACCAATGTTGGGCCCGGAGATTGTTCGAAAGGCGACCGAGAAAGTTGCTCTCATTCGAAACAGGTTAGCTACGGCTTAAGACTGACAGAAAAGTTATGCCGATAAGAGAAGGTGACCTCTATCCTTCGAGGTTGGTGACCATGTTTTTCTTAAAATTTCGCCATCGAAACGGGGTTTGATGAGATTTGAAAAGAGTGAAAAATTGTCTCCAAGGTTTATTAGACCTTTTGAGATTTTAGAGCAGATTGAGGAAGAGGCATACCGTTTGGACTTACCGACACAGCTTTCTAGAGTTCACAACGTGTTCCATGCATCTATGCTTAGAAAGTACGAACCCGACCCTTCACATGTACTTGATTGGGTCAACTTGGAGATAGATGAGGATGCCTCATATGAAGAACAACTAGTTCAAATTTTAGATATTCGAGAACAAGTGTTGAGGGGCAAGAATATACCGTCAGTGAAGGTGTTACAGAGACACCATGGAGTTGAGGAAACAACTTGGGAATGGGAGGCGGAAGTCCGCTCCAAGTATCCAGATTTATTTGAGAACGCTTAGTTTGTTCTAAATTATAATTTTCTCGTGTTTGAGAATGAATTGTTGAAATTGCTAACCACTTGTTGTTATGATTGTTGTTTTTGTTGTTTTTTTTTTTTTCCAAGTATGACAACTGTTGTAGAGTTGTTACAATTGTTGTTAAACTTATGCTTATGATTATCATACTAGTGGTTATTGATATTGTGGCTATGACCCATGGAAACTATGATGACAGTGATGGAATATTGTTGAGATCAAGATCTCCGTGCTATCATTGAATTGTTATTGTTATTGATTCGTTATTGTCATTGTTCTTTTGGAGGTCGTTGGTGAGTTGTGTGACCAAATTTCGGGGACGAAATTTCCTAAGGAGGGAGGTTGTGATGTACTAAGTCTTAGACTTGACCGATATTGTGTAGTCAGATAATTTGCTTTTACTTTTGACATTTTGATTATTGTGTTGGGTAATTGAGATTTCAATTATGCTCTTACTTAACCTCTTTTAATGTTTCTGGGTTAAAATTTTGAGTTTTGGGCGTTGGAACTTGTATCAGGGTGTGGGATCAAAATTTTGGCTTTGAATAGCAAAATTGCTAGTGCGGATTTGGCAACCGCTTGAGCGGAATCACTTAGGGTTTTTAGGAAATTTTGGGTAGAAAAACCGCTTGTGTGGATTTGAAAACCACTCGTGCAGATTTGGTAGCAATTTTGGGTTTTTCTTTGGCTCAAATTGCTCGTGAGGGGTAAAAATTTGCTCGTGTGGATTTGGATTTTTGCTCTTATGGAATTTGAACTGCTCATGCGGATTTCAGCGTGTCTATCTCGAATTTTGAGCTCTTTTGCTCAAATCTAATGCTAAAAACGTGTTTTATACACTTTTTCATGTATATCTATCTATCTATCTATCTATCTATCCAAGCTTGAGGTAGGGATATTCTTAGAGTTATATGTATATATATATATATATATTTGCAACTTTATGCTTGTTTGGAATTTTTCTCTTTTGTTTGAACTATGGTTTTGGGTTCATGAGCTCTAAATAATTTAAAAAATGGATTTTCTCTGTATTCCCCCGAACTTTTGAGAGTATGAGCTATGTTCTAAAGTATGAGTGTTGTTTTAAAAATCCTTTCAAAAATGGGACAAAAGCCTAGTTTTGGTGGATACCCTAAAAATTTGGGGATTTTGGGAAAATTGTTGAGGTATTATGAAATTCATGCTCGATAAATTATTATGGTGAATAATTGATGATGGAATTTCTATCGTTGTATCTAATGAGGGATTTCATGAAGAAATGAGAAATGTTTGATTTTGAAGCTTGATGAATAGCTTATTGTTGGTTTGTCTTGGAAAGACCAAGTTTAAAAATGATGATTAACATGTGGAGAATGCATGTAAGACAATATTGTTATTTGTCTCTAGAAAATTATATTGTGAAATTGCATTGAGAGATATGGAAATTTGATCTCAATGGAAGATTGTATGGTGGAATTGAAAATGGAACTATTGTAATGCATTGTTACATGTTTCATTGTTATTTCATTTCATATTCGTTATCATTGATCTCAAATTTGCATTTGAAAATTATTGCCTTGAGAAAGAAATTGTTTTATGAAAGAAGATCATCTTGAATTGTTTTGGGATAAATACGTTAGTAAGTCCGGATAAAGGGTGTCGTTGGGTATTGGTTAAGTTGGTTTGAGTGTCCATGGTGAAAGACTGAAAACATGCACGGAGGAGGTACTACGTGCCTTTCGATTAGCAACTGGTAAAGTGGTGATTGATAGTGCTTGATATGCCTACTTGCAGACACCAACCTAAGAATTACCCAAGTCATATTTATCACCCCTTGAACTATATTAAAGTTATTGAATTGTTGTATTTTCAAATTTGCATTGTGTACAAGATTTTCAAAGGATAGAGAATATATTTTGAGCATCACTTGGCATATGCATTCATCTTAAGAGACTATATAAAATGTATATATTTTGTTAGGATTTTCCTACTAGGTTTTGCGTTCACACTAGTGGATTTTGTGTAGGAAAAGATGTGGTGATTCCACTGAGTTAAAGGCGTGAAGTGTATTTTAAGGGCACAAGGATATTTTTTTTCTTTTGTTGTTATTTTTAACAAGCCGAGGGCTTTACATGTATGGGTTTGATAGCCATTTAGTGTAATCGGACATAAGTCTTAGAACTTGTAGCCCTTGAGGGCATTAAGTTGTTTTGGACTTGATGTGCCATATGCTATAGATTCAGATTCTAGGAAATGTTGAATATATAATTGTATGTAGAATACTTTTGTTAATCTCTAGAGCATAATGTATACAAATGTTAGAGATTTGATGATGATGTTAATGATGAGGCATTATATCTCATATACATTTATGCAATGGAAGTTATTAAGTTGGAAATAAGATCATGTTGTTAGAATATGTTAAATTTTCTTTTGTTAATTATTATGGGGCGTTACAACTAATTTTTCCTAATTATTATATCTTTTTGAAACACCATATTTGCTGCTTGCCCGCCTGATAGCATGGAGTTAAAAGTTTACATCGTTCAAAAATTTAGATATATGGTGGACAAATCACAAAACACTATTGCTCAGGCAGATAGTCAAATGATGTTTAATGGGGCTGTGCGCAGGTTGGTTTGGAAGAAATAATCTCAACCGAATCACCCATCGCGAGTTGGTTTGAATATTTTAGCAGTTTTAACAAGTTGACAAATTGAAATTTCTAACATATTATGCGAGACATTTTTAAATCATAAAACCTTATACTCTAATTTATGAGCTAAAAAATCAAAATAAAAGAAATGGTTGATGGTATATTTGTGTTCAAGAAGTGCCAATGAGAAAGACATGAGCAAAGAGGAGGGTGGAGAGTCAAAAAAATGAGTAGATTTATTTAGAATTGATGTATTTAGGCCTCGTTTGGCAAGTGTCTCTTTTAGTAAAAAAGTCAAAAAGTTACTAAAAAAATAAAAAAACCAATAACTCATGTGTGGGTGAAAATCTGACCACACTGCCTGCTTAGTAACCAGCTGGAGAGCACAGGCAGAATAGATGGCTTCAGCAACCTGTGACAGAAAGAAAAGGCTCCGGCGGTGGTTCTTCCACCCGGGGGCACTCCGACGATCAAGTCAGTATATCTCTCAAAGATAATCAAGTGCAAAACTTAATACTCAAAACATAAATTGCATACCTTAGACCCACGGGGGTGCCCTCTTTTATAATACATTCAATCCAAGTCCTATTAGAAGTATGACTTCTATGAACTCCAATTTAGTGCTTACTTTGGACTCTTTAAAAGATAAACTCCCTTACAGCTTTATCCTTATCTTGGTTAAGTCCCCTCTTCGTCTTAGGACTCTTGTCCCTTATTCGCTTATCTCGGATTCCGATATCTTCGAAGATAACCTTGGCTTATCCGAGATCATCTCGGCGTAACTACCACGACACGTGGCACCTTGGCTGACACGTCGGCGTCACCATGCCACGTGTTGGTATTCAGAAAATATATCCCCACAACTGCCCCCTAGGTTCTATTACCTCGGCACTCTGAGGTGATGGAACCTATACCGATATTTCGATATTTCTTTTCTGAATAATGGCTTAAAAACTATTTAGCCGAGATAATCCACTTCCAGCCGACGTGTTCTCTTCGGAGAACAAGGTTTCGAACGTACTTTCCCACGCGCATGAGCTGTCATGCATATCTAACCGTTCCTTTCACGTGTTTTGTCTTCATTGGAGCGTGTTTGTGACGCGCCTGAAAGCTGTCTGTCATTCGTCTGCGCCGCCTGACGCGTGCGTTGCTCTAGGCGTAATAAATGCCCTATTTTTGCCGCCGTTTCACGTTTTTGACAAAACTTTTCCTTGCCTCTTTTCTTTCTTCACTTTTTCATTCTGATTTCTCGCTTTTTCTCTCTCCGAAAGCTCTCTTTTTTTCTTCGAATCCGCCATTGCTTCAATCTCTCTTCTGAAACTGTCTTTAGCCTTCCATTTTTGCGAAGCCTTCTTTGCTGTCATAACTGATTTATGATCTCGGCGAATATTGCCCCGGCTTCATTTGTTCTGGTAAGATTCTGTTCCTTTTACTCTTAGCTCTTCTTTATGTGCTTTCGTCTGCCTGTTGTCATTATTGCTTTTGTTCAAAGCCTTGGATTTGTTTGATCTTGAATCGTGGCTACATCTTGAACACTTGCACTATTTCACCACTTTTCTTGCCACTGTTCTTGATTTTTTCACTTCTGTATTTTCTTTTGTTTCTGAGAACTATACCTCTGTTCTTGAATCTAAAACTTCGTCTTTGTTTTCTGTTTTTCGTATCTGTCCCAGATCTGTGCCTTCGATCTTGATCTTTATAGTTCTTAGGCTTGGGATTTGTGTGTAGAACCTTCAAGTCTTTAGGGACAACTGAAACAAGCCTTATTAGTCCTTTCCTAGGCCTTTGTCGAGGTTTTTGCAATCCTTCTAAAACGCCCATCTTCTGAAACACACTCCTCTTTGTTTAGGCCGACGTAATGGGTATGCAGAGGCATAGGGTAAATACCCCAACAAAACTCGAATACTTTAGGCAGAAATTCTCTATCCCAGCCGATGTTCACCTTAAGCTAGTTGGGGATGATGATACCATCATGCCCACAGACCATACGATGCCCTTTCTTATAGTTGCCTTTACTGAATGTGGACTTCGGCTTCCACTTGATCCCTTGTACCCTCTTCCTCGAACAATTACAGAGGGCAAGGGTAAGAGCCCAGTGCCAACACTTAGTTGTTTTTATTTAAGTCTTTAAAATTTGTCTGTTTCTAATGTCTGTTTGCTTGTCCTGCAGATCTTCATCAACCACCAAAGAACTTCCGTCAATCCTTCTTCCCTGGTCAAGATTTAAAGAAGCTTCTTGGTCTTCCAATCCATAAGCGCAAGGCTCCCCTGTTGCTGAACTTCATTCCGACATATAAATCTACTTTACCCGACGTCCCAAAAAGGAAGAAAAAGAGTCTTTCTCCTCCTACTACCACAACTGTAACTGCGTCCTCATCCCGAACAGATCAAGGATCCACCTCTGACCCAGCCGATCTTCCATCCACTTCGGCTCCCTACTTAATCCTAATTCCAGAACGTAAACGTCGACGAAGACTTGTAAAGACTGCCGAGATGGTTCGTCCAAGGCCTGTCGTTCAAGATCTTCTTGCCGACCTTCCAACCGACGCTGATGCTGTACCATCGCATGTGATGCCCCCACCAAAGCCGAAGAGAGTAAAAAAGGCT